TTGTTCGCCTAATCTATAGGTACGAGAAAGTGATTCCCAGGACCCGTACGGGCACCGAGTGGTCCGCCTGTTAGACGACTTCAAGATTAGTGGTGTTAACGGAACCCGTCAGTCATTTGATAGGATTTTAACACTTTTTAACACTAATTAAAACAATTATTGGTTTTCTTATAGATGTTTGTATGGTATTCGAGGTGTTGGGCTGTAATCTATTGAAACTCATTATCCGATCTAATTATGAGGGCATTCCTCTCACTAATGTTAAGCGAATAATACGACAGGTATTTGAAGTGATATACCAGTGCTTTATGTGCCGGAGCCCTAACTATTTGTTTGTATGGACACAGGTTTTAGAGGGTTTGGAGTATTTGCACACAAAATGCAAGATCATTCACACCGACATTAAGCCCGAGAACATACTGTTAACTGTGGACGAGTCGTACGTGAGACGACTGGCCAACGAGGCCTACCAGTGGCAACAAATGGGAGTCAAGTTACCCGGATCACTCATCTCGACCGCCCCGAAGGAACTGTTAGGTCCGTCGACGGCCACAAAGATGTCGAAGAATAAGAAGAAAAAGTTGAAAAAGAAAGCGAAAAAAGTGGCGGAAATTCGAGAGATCCAAATGCAACAGTTGGCAGAAGTGGAACTCAGGGAACAGTTGACTACCGGCCCGGCCGGCGGGTCTTCCTGTCCGCGACTGCCCTACGAATACGACGGTTTGCCCACCGATGAGGACGACTGCGGTGTCGTTCACCACCGAAACGGCGCCGAACGGCTGCGCTGTGTGGACGAGGAGGAGGTGGAAGAGGCCTCAGAGGCGTACCCATCGAATCACGTGACGGGTTCAGACATGTGCAACGGACACCGCTATCCGCACACCAGGATTACGGTGGAGGACAGCGACGCCCTCGGAGTGGATAACGTAAACATTAGTGAGACGTCGAGCGCCCGGAACCGTTTAGAGAGGTCTGAAAGCGCTTTAGTTACTAATTACCAAAAATGCAAAGAATCTGGTATCAGACGAGTGGCCAGTTGTCCCGGTATTTACACGTTTTTTGTCTTAAAACTCTTGTTCTTATTCAATGTGTGTTTGTATGGCCAACAGATCAACAAAAAATGATGGATCACTCGCCTGATC